TCTCCATACTTCATGTTAAAGGATGATCCTGCATCGAATTTCTTATGAAGATTGGGGCCCGTATAAATTCAAGGAAATAACGAGAAAGGTATCAACATACATTACGTGTAGTTTTAGTGGAATATGCCCACCATTACCATGATGAACGAGTCACGACTAATACTATACGTGATTTGTCTGTTGAATAACAACTTCAAACCAGGATATGCTTTATACTGTACGTGTACATCTTGAATTATCTATCGTCGATACAGTCTATAGTAGATTTCTATTTTTCAAAACTGATGTCGAATCCCCATACTTGCAGAATCTCTATGGTCCTCTTTCAGTTTCCACTCACTCGAAATTTGTCTTCCTCTGAACCCCCCACCCCCCCTCTCTCTCTCTCTCATCCTTTCTGTCTGTCCTCCTCCTTATAATCTTTCACTCAGCTCTCTCTCTTTCATTCTTTTCACCTCTTTAATTGTATCCCCCCCCCCCCCTCTTGGTTGGATTTCCCTTTAATTTCTTATGAAATCCAACTCATGGGTGCAATAAATGAATGATTTAATATGTTGCTCATTCTTAATTATAATCGACATGATCAGAGATGGAACAATGATCAACAATCAATGTATAGCCTAAATAAAAAGAAAGTGAAACAATTAAGGGATTAAGAACATGATTGAATGATTCTGATGGTGATGAAAAAAATTGAAAATTAATACGGTGTTAAAAAAAAGATAAAAAGACAAAGCAAGTTTCAGGAAGAAATTAAAAGATAAAGGGTGACAAAAGGGTGACAAAATCCCCTTAACAAATTAAGGAATAATGCTAGTGATGAATTTGAATGACACTTTGACGAAATCTATTGCAAAATGACGAAATTCATTCGGGCAATTGTACCTTGGCACCTGGGGTTGACGAACTTGATTTGACTTTGACGATATTGGATGCAAAATGATAGAATTTTTTGGACAAAGTCCGAAAATGAATGGCCAAAGACGAAATTGACTATTAGATTTGCAAGATTGAGAATTTTGGGACGAAATAGAATGAAAAATGTTTGAAATTAGAAGAAAATAATTAGTGTTAAAATAGACGGGGAACCTTTACTCGAGATCTACTTCGAGTCCATTAGGTAGTGTTAGGATAATACGTATTGTGTTGTTTTCAGTTTTCGTATCATACGGATCTATCTAAGCCAAGCAGACTGTAAGGGTACTTGAACCGTCAAGATGTTTTCATGGCATATGCCAAGAACTTCTAGGGCCACCCTGTAGCCCGTGGGTATAAAAACGGATCCCAAGCGTATGGGATTTTAACATGCACACGGTTTGGTCTCGTTTTCATACTTCAATTTTAATCGCTTTTGATCAAACTACATCATTCAGGTTTAGTTGCTCTATACCTCTAGAATTTGTTGTCTCTACTCCCTTAATGCGTATCTCGGCGCTGTCGAAAGAAAATCCCCTTTCAATAATATTTGTAATTTTGTAATTATTTCGAAAATGTGATATGTGTATAAGGAAGGCCTATTGTATACCTACGGTGTAAAACGAGAATGTTGTCCAGTACCAATTTCCGTCTTCATAGACATCCTGCCATTCAATTATTTAAAAACACCGGATGCCGAACCACCATTCTGCTTTCAAGAATATCATGAACGAAATCGGTCTAATACCTGAGTCAAACAATGGAGATAATATATCCATTGTTTGACTCAAGAGACCGACAAGAGACCGACAGCAGACCGACATCAGACCAACAAAGAGACGGTCGGTGGGGAGTCGGTTTGACCGTGTGAATGAGAAACAATCAACGAGAAACAGTGACTATTAATTTTCACCTCTCTAGCAACCTAATACTAATAGCTCCATGGTTCGAACAAGATACGGACTCTCAGTTTCATAAAAACTCATTTGTAATTTATATGAAGTGCAACAGATCATCTACACCCATGTATGTCAAGTCTACTCATTAGCAACCAAATTGTAACGACTTCAGTAGCTTCTATCAATCATTGTTATTTGTTCTTTGATGTAACCATTTTGAGAAACAGTGCCTAAACGTCATTAGCTGACGATAATGACGTACCCCCAACTGGAACCGAGACTAGATGAAAGTGTGAAATAAACAAAGGCTTTTCCCTCGACCTCTCGACGTTTAAGGTCAACCGTCTGTCAAACCTGTCTGAAATCGGGTGAATGGCAAGCGTTAAGTGTTCCACAAAACAAACATAAATTTGTTTTCTCTCGGGTGCCCTTTGAACTCTAGCGCACGCTTTTGTTCTCGTGTCGCACCCAACTAAAGAACCCAATCATGACATTGCACAGAATCTCTCGTTTCAGGCTGTTCTCCTGGAAAACCGTTGAAAACCATTTTTCTACCATAAGCTTTCCTGTTGTTGTATTTTCCAAGCGATTCTGTGCTGTAAAAACCAACTGCATCACCAAGACTACTAGTGGCGCACCCTGTCAATCTTCATTCCTTTATTTATTTTTTTGAGAGCTTGTCTAGAAGACTAGAGCTATAATAGGAATCAACAAAGATGACTATACTAAAAATATGGCGAAACAAAAGAAATCCTATTCAAGTCTCAATTGCATTAACTACTAACGTTTTCTCACATCATAATTTTACAACAAAGAACAGACATTAGCCATGTTCCATTGTAACTCCTTAATTAATCCAAAGAGTTATTATCTCCTTGATTACCGGTAATTTAATTGCAAAATCACTCGCTGACCTTCAAAGCGTTCGCCTTCCATGTCCTTCTCATGTTTCGTTTTCCTTCTTCATTTTTTTTTATAAATCGGAGATAGGGATGTGGGGTGTTTCCTTATACTTATAATACTATATAGAACCTAGTCACAAACATAATTCTGTTCATATTATTTTTGTTATTCCTCCTACATGTAGATTCCTACCTCTTTACTGGATTAAAGGAGGGGGGGGGGGTCCATTTTTATACTTTATTGAAAGTAGGCACAGCTGTGTATTTCCACCCGATAAAATAATGACGTGTCTTGTTCTTCATGACGGCCTCATCTGTCTTGAATCAAGCAAGCCGCTCTCTTATAAGCACATGTAATCCAGCAGCACCGCCTGCATACATGTACATGTATTTATATCAGGACTTATGAATAACGTACGGATACTAATCTTGCAAACTGCTAGGCCTTTACTCGTAGGGAAATATAGGAACTACATTTCGTGAAAATATTCTGTAATATCATTTGATATGATTGTATGCAGGAAAGAATAACATGTACAAAACCATGCATGTTGGGTCAGATAGGACAAAGGGAAATTATGAAAACAAGCTTACGAGTTGCTTGGAGATGAAGCTGTATATTATTCAGGTAAGGACGCCGAGTGTTGACATTGCCAAAGCATTATAACATAGGAATAAAGTACTTTGTATTGAAAAAGAGGGGGGTTCAAAGAACACTTTTAAGGATTAATGAGGTAATTTCTTTTGTTGCATAATGATACGGATGATTTGAAGGGAGGGGGGAGGTTGTGTCCCCCTCCCCCATAAACAAAAACAGACAAGAAAAAATGTAATCCATTCCAACTCCTGGAGTCCTGGTATAACCAGTACAGTACACTGTATCACCAATTCCCCATTTATGAAAGATTTTAAGGATTAAGGAGGTTTAAGGATTTTAAGGATTAAGGAGGAAATTCTTTAGTTGCATAATGATACGGATGATTTGAAGGGAGGGGGGAGGTTGTGTCCCCCTCCCCCATAAACAAAAACAGACAAGAAAAAAAATGTAATCCATTCCAACTCCTGGTGTAACCTTGTACAGTACAGTACACTGTATCACCTATTCCCCATTTATGGAGTATGCCGGTACATACATACATGTACAATACAAGATGGTATGATTTACAAAAGAGCTACACATGCAGGTACCTCCGTACAAGGTGTACATACTTGATAGTCTCAATTACAACCTAATACAAGTACATGAATTTCTCCTGGTGCTGTAGAATCTAGACCTTTTTTGGAGCAATACTCAGAAGTGACGTTGTAAATGTTATGTGCTTAGAAACAGACTAGCCCTGTAAAAGATTATGTAATGATGAAATCAATATAATATAGGCCGAATCGTTTGTTCAATACTACTACTGTCATTATTGTTAGTATAATATTGCCCTTTACAGCTGGTCAGTACTATAAACATCATTTTCATCATTATTGTTATAATTATCATTATATTATTATCATTTATCATTTTAATTATCAATATATGATATAATTACTATTCATATTCTTCTTCTCAGTATTATTATTTATATATCTATCTACGTGCATTCATTGATTCTTCTTTGAATCTTCTTACAACATTGTGATGAATTGTATCCTCAATTTAGGGAGTAGGCCTACACTATATGACATTATGTTGAATTACAATGAATACAATCTCCTGATTTTAATACCAAATTTCTTTTCTCTTTATCGTATCTATTTCATTCATTTCAAACTTGCTTGGATATAGTATTTCAATTATTCATATCTGATGTAAGTTAATAAGCACCAATACAACAATGGGGTGGCTCTCGGTTAGTCATCGTGACATTGTATTAGCAGGTGAATTAGGGGTCAGGCCAGGTGAGATCCACTGTCGCTTACCGCACACAAGGTCGCACACAAGGTCAAAAACAAGTCACTCCAATCCAATCGCAAACTACTCATTCATTCACATTCACATTCACAAGAACTTTTGTCTTTGACGTCCATTCCTACATCACACTCATAATTTGTTTCCTCCCAACTCATTCGGCAAAAATCTTCTGAATTGTGAAAAAGCAAGATGCTACATAACGCACCAACACTCAACACTAACAGTAAATATATAATCATGATAATGCATGTGTATGATGGAGATTATTATGGTGTAAAAAGAGAGTCGCTGTGCATGTGCAGATTCCAGAATCCCAGTCTATTTAACGACCCATTTATATTATTAGAAATGATAATGAATCTATACAAAATATTTGGCACTCACCGTTTCATGAGATGTTCGCCTTGTAGATAAATCTCGTCTGGTTGTTTGGTCGCTACTGTTGTCATCCTCATCAGGAATCACTGCTTACACTCCAAAGCAGACATTCTTTGTACAGTCTCCAGCTGCAGGGTAGCCGTGCAGCGAAGGAAATGTTCACAGAAAGAGCAGATAACGTTGCATGTAAGCAGCACAGCACAGGGTCACTGTATAATTTACATGCACGATCGAACGGTATCGAGATTGTCGCGGCGTACCGTCTGCGGAAGATTCGACTCCAAGATCTTGTTTGATGTTGCGAGTTTTGACGGCGATCTCGGCGGAGAAAATCAACCAGCGTTTCCACCAGGTATGTCCTCAGACTTGGTGTTTTACATAGCTTGGTTATTTGATCATGGTTTCACGGGGGGAAAGACACGTTTGTACTGACTAGTCATGCAGAAACGTTGACTTCTTGCGGTCTTTTGTTCGTCAGCCTGTGAGAATCGGCCGAGGTGGAATGTATGAATACCGTCCGTTCTTGCATGCAGTGCATGTATTGTGTGCGAATAGCACAGTGCCCCAAAAAGCAGGGAGAGTGTGGGGGTGTGTGTGCGGCACTCTGCCACGGATACCGAAGTTACTTGCAGTGTGCGGAGGCATTAGTCATGCATTCAACAGTGAAGTTGGGGTCAAAACGTCAAGAATACCCCCCCCCCCCTTCTCTTTCTCTCTCTTTCTCTCTCTTTCTCTCTCTCTCTTAGACTCTTTCTCTCTCTTTCTTTCTCTCTCTCTCTTAGACTCTTTCTCTCTCTCTTTCGACATATCAGTATGCGTTTTCGCTTCATGGACAAAAAAGGAAGGGGGGGGGGGAGGAGGTAGGGGTCGGGCTCGGCCAATAACTATTAAATATATATTTAAAAGTACTAATAATACCTTCACTTTTTAAAGGTAAAGACCAGTTATGGTCACGCGATTGCATTGTGAAAGAAACGTTGTGGAATCGATCAGAAAAGGTTGATCATCTAGCATCTAGCATCTGCAAGGTTCTGGAATCATCAAAATGATAAGAAATTTGGCCCATTCTTCGTAAAGTTACAAGCACCATACACAGAAAGATGTATATGGGACTACCCTATATCTCTCACAGACCATGAGAGAAACAAATTTACCAAATATATGAATTAGTAGGCGGTTTCCCGGCAAATTTGTTATCATCATGTATTAGTCAAAACATATTCTTTCACATGATTGGTAATGAGAGCTTCCATTTCATTTTTTGAAATTGGGGCGTTTCCAATACTGGTCTCTACCTTTAAACGCCATGTACACGACTTGTATTACCCTGCATCATCCGATCACAGATAGTTTCCCATGTTATTATTTGTATTAACGCTTTCTGTCAAATTGATCAATATAGTAATTCCGATATGATATATGGACCGGTATGAATAGAACTATTAGTCTGTGTGATTTTTTAAAAATTGGCCTACTAGATCGAATACTACCTCTGAATTAAGCGCTCGGAATTCGGAAAGAAACTTCATGAGAACGATTTTGTATAATCTTCTACACTAGGCCTATAATATAATGATAATTGTTCTCATTGTCAGTTATTGCTACGATAATTTTTTTGTTTTCACGTGCATATAGGATTATCGGAAAGTCTGTTTTTAATTTTGATAATTCTTGACCGACCTATATTTTCATGCCGATCAAGAGAGAGAGAGAGAGAGAGAGAAAGAGAGGAATATAATGAGAAAGATAGAGAGAAGTTCATGACCACCCTTGCAGAATTGTTTTCTTAAAGGTAAAGACCAGTTTAAGGTCATGCGATTGCATTGTGAAAGAAACGTTGTGGAATCGATCAGAAAAGGTTTATCATCTAGCATCTAGCATCTGCAAGGTTCTGGAATCATCAAAATGATAAGAAATTTGGCCCATTCTTCGTAAAGTTACAAGCACTATACACAAAAAGATGTATATGGGACTACCCTATATCTCTCACAGACCATGAGAGAAACAAATTTACCAAATATATGAATTAGTAGGCGGTTTCCCGGCAAATTTTTTATCATCATGTATTAGTCAAAACATATTCTTTCACATGATTGGTAATGAGAGCTTCCATTTCATTTTTTGAAATTGGGGCGTTTCCAATAATGGTCTTTACTTCTTTCAATCGCATTTCATCTGTAGAGGGAGGGGGGGGGGCTATATTTTTGATAGCCGACAGGAGGGTTGTTGTTGTTGATTTAGTTTTGACGGCTTTTGTCCGTCCGTCAGTCAATTTCGAATATTTACGCTTAATTTGTTCTTATAACGTGGAGAAATAATTGGTATAGTTTTCATCTTCAGTGGAATTTATGTTGATATTGTTCAACGACAGGCTATGTGTAGCGCCATCTACAGATAAATGTTATACATCCGACGAGAAAAGCTGAATGTCGTGTGCACAGAATAGAAGCATGGACCTACTGTCTATTAAAGAATGATGGAAGGACGTTAACAGCTAGTAGAAAAGAAAATCTATATAAGCCTATCAGTCTATCAATGGCGTATCAGGGGGGGGGGGACGAGGGCACGTGCCGCCAGGCTAATCACCCTCGAGCCCCCCCCCCCCCCACACCCGTCAAAAAAGAGGGTGGAAGGGAGGGGAAAAGGTAAAGCATCGACTAGTGGCCTTTTTTCCTGCTTGTCAGAAATAAATTGTCTAGCATCGAAAACGTCACCCCTATTAATACCGGGCGACCTTATCGGACTTGTGCCCCCCCCCCCCCGTCAGATAATCCTGGATCCGTCAGTGAACATTGTATGAATTAACCCGCTCATGCCCTTAGGATAATATAAGAAGCACTTTATGAGAAGATTGGCGATAAATCGAGAGATTGCAAAGGAGGAAGGGGAAAGTCTGTAATAATTTTTGAAACCGAAAGAGTAACATAAATCATAATTGTAGGTGACCCCCATTCTATATTCTTTTAACAATTATTTTCTGGACTCTTAGTATTCCTTTCGTGGTATTTTCTCTTTGGGAACTATAAGTAATAATAATGACATTCATAATAATGATAATAACAATAATAATAATTTAAATAATAACAATAATATTAGCACTAATAATAATATTAGCACTAATAATAATGGTAATAGTAATAATAATGAGGATGATAATGATAATCACATTTGTATAGAGCTTAAAGCTTATCTGTACTAGTTTGCAGGAGGGATTATACCGCCCTGCAATGTCACTGGACAGGTGGTAATCTCATCAACTCAGCTCTCAATTAACATAAGAAAAATGGGATCATGGGGGACCAATGGTCACCAATTAGGCATTGTTTGTTATATAGAGGGCACAAGTAACTACAAGTAGTGCAGTGGGCCTTTAATACATTATCTAAGCGATGTATATTCTAATTATTATTACCCGGTTATTTGAAACAATTTCTAACCCGCACAAGAAAGTTTCAGTTTTCAGTATCTGTTTTATTTTTCATTTCATTTCCACAGAACAGTGATTTTGACGAGAAATCAGATATACAGTTCAATATTCATTATTCAATGATATGATACATTTTATGTGGTTTAAAATTATGAAATAGAAAGTATACATAAATGTCCAGTATAATAGTTATCTTTTATTTTTTAAGATAAACCTGTGGAAATGGATGAATCCACTGAAAAAGCAGAGCTTGTAAAATGTGGATCCCTCTAAATAATGACAAACATATTTTTGTAACATGTAAATATATTAACTTGGAGCAAATAAAGAGAAAGAGAGAGAGAGAGAGAAAGGAAAGAAATTCAAATTCAATTTTTATTTCACATCTCTCTAAAAACACATCAAAAGTTACACAAACAAATCAGTGTAAATTAAACAATATTTAAACATAAAAACATAAATTGACATGGTACTGTGAAAGAAGGATGAAGGGTGGTGGGGTCAACAAAGGCCATTGACCTGTCAAGATTGATCCCCTAAGGTTGCTTCAATAAATTGGGATTGATAAACCTTCACAGTGGTAACTTTTAAGAGTGATATTAAAGATAAACTTGAGTTCTGGTAAAAAAAAGAAAGAAAATGAATTCTCACAGAATCTAACGAAACTTACACTGAATGCTCAAGATTACAAATAAATGTCATGTGCCAAACAATTTTGGAAGAAAATGTATACTGGCTGAGTAATGACCATAGAAAGATAAGGAAATCAGGGTAGTACTAGCCCCGACACCATGTGTGTTGTCCCATATACATCTTTCTGTGTAAGTGATTGTTACTTTACCAAGACTCTGCCAACTTTATGATGATTTTGATGACTCCAGATTCCTGAACCTTGCATTACACACCATTACTTACATGCTATATGATCAACTTTTCTGATCCATTCCACACCTTTTCTTTCATAATGCAATCGCATTTCCAGAACTCAAGTTTTTCTTTAAACAAAATGCACAAATTGCAGTAAATCAGTGGAACTTGATTTTTATAACATATGTATATGTTACGGCTAGGGCTCTCTTACCGCAAAAGAGGTTTTACGATATTTATCATAATCTGCATAATTATGATAGCTGAAAAATACACATTATATACATATTTTATTTTTAATTTTTTTGTTATGGTCTGTACAAAATGGTTGACTCTATGTAATGCACAGATACAGTGGATAGAATAGAGACGGGTCCAAAATAAGGAAATAAACTTTTAATACGTTGAAAAATATTCTCATAAAAGTTTGCCGAATATTATCTAATGAGGCCGTAATTCTCCCCCCCCCCCCAAAAAAAAAAAAGTTAGAGGGGGTCTTTAGATACATAGTGTTTTATTAAGTGGGCTAAAATAAATTCAAATTTGGCAAAATGTTTCTTTTAATTGTAAGTGTAACCCCTATGCTATCACAAGTCTAGTTTGAAGCAATCCGAGTCAAATCGTTCTAAGACATGAAGACAAAATATTATAAGGTTCGGTATGGCGAGAAAAATGGAAAACGTATACTGTTTAAACATTTGCAATGGAGTTTTTGATAATTTATGGTTCAACCCGAGAAAATTTTGAGCATAAACCTTTAAAAAAAAAATCACACTGAGTCTCTCTGTTTAGTTCTTCAGGATCAATGTGTTTAGATATTATACAAATATACACTGCCTATGAGAGGTTCTGATTTAAACTATGCGCAAGAGGTGACTCCAATAGTACTATTTGCTGAGGGGCGCAGCCCCGAAGCAAATGGTACTTTTGGAGTCACCGAGGCCCATAGTTTAACCAGTACCTCGAATAGAAGGCATGGTATATTTGTTTTATATCCTGCATCAACAATTTATTTAAAAATTTAAATAAAATTTAAAAAAAAAAACATTTTTGGGAAAACAAATTAAGAACAAAAAAAATGTCAATTTTTATCTAAAAAGATTTTAAATATTTTGTTTTCATTAAATTAAGATTTGAAAAAAAAAATTGATTCAATTCCCCCCCAAAAAAAAATCACATTTTTTTTTCAACTCCCAAATAGTAAATCAAAATAGTACTCTCATAATATAGTACTCTCTAAAAATAGGTCAAATATTTCTGGTCATGTGACGAGCTCTCAACCAATCAAAAGCCAACAAATTTTTGATGCAGGATATAAATACATTTATTCTCTGGTTGACCTGTGTTTTGAACGATTATTCAAATAAAATAATCAGCACTTTCTTAAACGATCATAGAAGCGGAACATGGCACCTAACAGTGTAATCAATGTATACACGGATACTGTGAATATGATAGTAATTAGACACTGCCGTTCTGTATGCGTATTAATAAACCAGTGCTTGTTTTAACCTCATCTGACCTAGCAACAAGTGGTAGATGTAAACTGTTGCTTGAATAGGCTGTTGCGGTGACGGATCGGATTAAAGTCCATATAAATGACCACAGCGAACAAAAAGTTTTTGAATAAAATTTATCTAAAATCTATGTACTTCAACCATAAGTTATGTGTTTGCATGTAGTGATTATAACACGTTAATTACATAATATTGCACGACGACATTTATATTTCAAAGAGCAGTGAAAGATTCCTTTAAAAAGTAACATTTATGTTTAAAATCGAATTCGACTTAGTGATCATATTGTCACATGCTAATTCATTTGTAGTTCATTTGTAACGCTCTTTGATAATAATAAAACATCCATTTCGGGCACGTATTCATCCCAGGGGACGCTTAAAGTGGCTAACGAAGTAGGCTTTTAGCCCAGCTGCCCTAATGCGCTAAAAGAATTCAAGGAGTAAATTCCTACCAAGTACCCATTTTAGGTGGAAAGTACATGGCATAGATTATTGTTTTGCCAAAGGACATTGGTGCCGCAATGGGACTTGAACTGCAAACCATGTGAACCATAGTCGGGTGATCTATCTACTAGACCACGACACTTCCACGATGATCGGCAACACACATGTACAGTGCACAAGATTTCCCTTTTCTAAAAGAACAATCAATTCGTTGTAAGTCGAGTTAAAACCAATGGAAGAAAGTCGGGTCTGCAGGTTTTGTCGGAAAACGTAAAAAAAGCTTTTACGGAATATTGCGGCCAACGTAAAACTCTTAAATATTTCAAATTAATCTAAGTACCCTACATGACCTATAGTTTTGTATTTTCCGTTTCTTCATTGGTGTCCCCATTCGTCGGTCTGATATCACTGAAGGTAACCTCTTTCGGGTCGCTCGATTTTGCTCTCGGCCTCCGCACCAGGGTCGTCGTACTCACGTTACTCTGTGCACTGCTGCTCGTAGTACGCGTACGCGTTCGCGCACGGTCCTTATACACCCCCATTGGGCCAGGCGCGAGCGCACTCGTGACCATGTTAGGAACTTCCGGTGTGATGAAGATCACAGCATAAAGCTTGATGACGAAGAGGCAGACTAGGACCAGAATGGCGTTTAGACTCGTTAGGATATCGGAATACAAGCCGCTTTCGAATTCGAGGTTCGCCGTCACGTATGGGACGCTGAACGCGCCGATGAGGATACAGCTTCCGAACGACGAGAAGGCGATGAAGCGAGCTTCGTGGTAATTGTCAGGGAGATGGCGACCGAGGATGGTGAAGATACAGCAGATGACGAGGAATGGGAAGTTGAAGATAATGGTGGAAAGAGGCTCAGGCCACCAAACATCGCAGCACATCTGAATCTTTAGTTCGCCGTTTTGTATGTAGGAAAACGGAATAACTTTGCTAGGATTCATTAGGAGCCATGTTGTCTCTATACCCACCTGCATTTAATGAGAAAAAGTAGGACGGATATTGGTGGCAATATGTTATGAATGCAATAATTATTGTCCTTCATACCATCTTACAACGGAAAATGAATGTTATCAAGGAGTGTATGGGTGACTCCAGTATCATTCACTCACAAGCATATGCGGAGTAAGTTAGTGTATAAGATCATGCATTAGACTCAATCGAATTAGAGGATACAGTATCTAGAGTTCAGCCATGAACGACTCTTGAGGGCGTTACCTTACATTCTTTAACACGGACGTCACGCCCTTCCGGCTTTTAACAGACTATCATAAATCACTATAGAGTTACTTTTCCTCTTGAACCTTTGATACCACCAACTCATTAAAAGCCACTGATATCATATGCCTCATATATGGTAGAGGAAGACAAGAGTATTATAGCTCTAACATATATAAAGAGTGTGTGAGGCTATAACAATGCGTAATTTGAAAATTATTTTGAACAATAATTCGTCGCTGTTTTCACGAAGTGACGGTAGTGAAAACAAATTGCATTCACTTTGCGTTACGATTTTCCTCACTACCGTCACTTCGTGAAAACAAGGACGAATTATGAAGAAATTATAGATGGCAAATTTTGAATTTCTCCGGAGACTTTTTTTTTGTGGGAAAATTTCGTCGAATAACCTTCGATCGCTCCCCATTTAAAGATTTTAAGCAACTTAATCCACTCACCTGGAGTAAGACCGCGAAGGCAATGAGTGCAAGTTGACCACAGAGACTCAAGAGGTTGGCGCTTTCTTGTGAGTCAGTGGCCTTTGCCTTCTTGAAGATTCGGTAGAGCTGTACGCATTTGATAGCAAGCGGCACGTAGATGATGGTGTAGGTGACTGATCCGGCTACTCTGGTGAAGGTACAGAGGATCTCTGAAGGAGGAAGCACGGCCATAAGTCCGACAACGAAACCGGTCACCGTGCCAAACAGGACCAATAGATGGAGTACGGGACCAGAACCCTTGATCAGGGTGTCCTTGATGTTGTAGACAAACAGAACAAATAGAATTAGAGCGGTCAGGAGCCCAATACTAGAAAGACCTACTAGGAACGGTCCCAACCAGCTGTGGAACACCAACGGGACCGACTCTACGGTTGTACAGGTGGTATAGTCAGTGGACGGATCGGGGAGGGCGTCTGCCGGGCACGGTACGCATTCGGTCTCAGTGGCGACGATCTCATCCAGCTCACATTGCCGACAGTTCCAGCAACATGTGGCAGTATCTCGGATCCGATCCTTGACCTGCCGACTTGCGCACTCTTCGCTGCAGATAGACGCAGGTGGCGTGGTGGTGTTCCAGCCAACATCTGTATAGAACCGTATATCAAAACCGTTCAGCTCCAGACGAGCTTCCAGCGTTGGGCCATCTTCCCAGAAACCTACACGCTCTGATTCCAAAATTACACCATCCGGACCCAAGCGATAGTTCTCGATGGCATACCTTCCCTCCCCATCGCCGTCCGCGTTAAAACTGAAATTCCCATTGGCTAAGCTCTCAAAGGTAGTTGCAAACAGGTACGGTGCAAGATGTGTTCCATTGGTGCCAAGCCGAACGACGCACGCTGTCACGTCTGTCTCATCCATACACTCCTCCTCCATCATGGTGTCCAGGGCGTAGGCGTAGGCAAAGACCGCATCCATGACAAGCGTCTCGAAGCTTGGAAGACGACTGTTCAGTACCCGGTCGCGGCAATCCTTCTGAGCGGCCTCATCATCCTGTAGACAGTCCACGTATCTCTCGAAGAACTCCCCCACCCATGGGTTATCGCTCGTACTCGGGTTGATCTGGGCGAACTTGTCGTCGAAAGCTTCTAAGCTCTTTGAGAAAGGAGCAGTGGATATCATTCCTGTAGGATTGCAAGACAAGAAAAAGATAATTACGCTCTCATGACTAGGAATCCTGAAATATATATACACTCATGGTCATAACTCTTTTGAATTATTTTGATTTCTTTTTATTGATTTCCATATCATCTTTTAAAACATCCATATTCATGCGCATCAATCATGATTATATAACAGTGATATCATTTCCCCCAATATAGCAAATCGATTATGGTGGACATGTCATTATTCTTAACTATATACGTTGAAGTAATTCAATTATTTAAACTAATAAGAATATAACGTGGTATAAGAGTAAAGATGATTTTAATTTTAACTTGGCTATGATCGTTAAGGTCGTTGGTTGGAGCCCGACATTGCACAAATGTCGTTTGGTTAGACAGAAATCTACATTCGCTTGTTAGTTGATTATTTGCAAGTTTTTGTTTTTTCTTCTGTTTTTTTTAAAGATTCTTTTGCTGAAAGAAGGCCAACCTTGAATTTCTACCATGAAAAAAAGAAGTCATTATCTAAGATGTAGGTTTGAAGACAAGATCATTCTCAACTGATTTACGGTATGAAAATAAATAGTATGGATAACATTATGCTTGCTTGTACAGCAGCAGGAGGCATCCCTACGAGCAGAAATAGCTTATTAAATTTAATAGCCTATTATATTCGTGCTTTCAAGCTCAAGGTTTTAGTGATATGCACTGCAATCGGTTATGTCACAATTGGCTAGATAATGAACTCGACAAGCTTCGTTCATTATCCGATTGTGACTTAACCAGCGTGCAGTGCACATTCACTTATGTATTCTTAAACATGCATTATTTTGTGTAATTTATATCATCATTGTGAATTATGGTAATCATTATAATAACAGGTTATCACTAAACAAATAGTAGAATACTACATGATGTTATTGAATGCAGTTTCTTAAGTAAAATGCATCGTCGCTAAACTTTTAACAATCTAAAAATAAAAATGGGGTTTTGTAAATTCGTATTGAGTTACTGACTAGTAGGTCCTTGTAACATCCCATTGCCATACCTCATATTCACACAGCCAAAAGCAAAACGATAAAATCCCGCGAAGTGTGCCGCTCGTTATGTTTTATTAATCTTTTTTCTTTTTCCTTAATTGAAAAATTATTTTGCCGAATATCCTTGATTTGTGGCTTTTTACCTGATTGTTTAGCTGCTTGCTCTTCGCCATCGATATAGGATGACGGATGCATATCAATAAAACATATTCTCTCACATGATCAATAATGTATATGCCACCACCATGATCATTATTTTTAAGTGCTGCAAATACGGGAAAGCAACAGGCCATATTAAAGCGTACCTGCTCATACTACTTTGCCACCCACACTCCTACGGAGCAAACAATCATTTTTGGTTAACGTGGAAATCGTTCTCTCGTACTTCTTATAGAGACAAGGGTGTTGGTATTTGGGTAACATCACGTTTTCCATGAGAAAATTCATTTTGCCAGGGTAAATTTTGATAATCATCATTAAGACTTGTTAGGATGTTCGAGAACGAGAGAGAGAGAGAGAGAGAGAGAGAGGGGGGGAGAAAGAGAGAGAGGGGGATGGCTTCGAAGAGTGAACGAACAAGACAAAACTTATTTTAAATTAAAAAGGGCCAATCAAATAATTTCAAATTAATATATACATTGGACTTTGATGAGCAACCTTGCATCGAAATGAATATCACCTTTCGCAATTACTATATCAATCAGATTTCGATTATCTTTCTGCCACAGCTAAATTTACCGACCATCAATACACCGCAAACGAAAAGTGAATTTCATATAAGCTCGTCGATATATGAAAGGAAAAAAAAATCCTAATTTATTCATTACGAAATGGCAAGGATGCCTTCACTTCATTTTATAAGTCCGTTCATTGAGATAAATCATCGTCGAGCTATTTTTTTACGGTTCATTGTTGCACATTATTTGAAACGACATGTATTCCTAGGTTATGTATTATATATTTGTGTGCTGTTTCTCTGCAGCAAAGGAAGATTATTTAATCTGTAAAATGTAATCCTTAGAGAATTTCATGGTCATGGAATTATAAATGATAAAAAAAAAAATTTTGTCAATGAAAAAATAATCATTAGCTATATCGTCAGCTGAAGGTATATAATGTTCCTAATGATAAGGAGTAATAACGACGATGATTTTAAAAGAGAAGGCCGATGATAATGGCAACAGTAATTATGATAATGATAATTATGACGACGACGATAATGATGATAATGATGATGATAAGGATGATGATAATAATGATGATCATAATGATAGTGAGGATGATGTTGATAAACTTATACTGATGATAAAGAGTGTAATTACGATAGTGATGAAAATGATAATGGTGATGACGACGATAACAATTTATAAGTGATTGTAACTGTGACGGAAATCATTAAGAAAGAGGGAATACGCATAATTATCTATTATCTAAAGACAAACAGCAATGTAATAATGATGTCCCTTCCAACATACTGCATGTGATATTTTGTCAGGATGCCCATCACTATATTCAAACACCGTTGATAATATTTGCTGTTCAAGTCTACTACTTTAATTGAAAACCACAGCAAAACGTGACATCGCACGTCGCTTCGCAATTTCGTTCATATCCTGCCGAATAAAAGCGATCTGATATTCTCGCTATGCAAACAAGCCGTGCCCGGCAAAACATGTATTCAATAATTCGTGCAATCTATATCATGTTCGTGCACTTTCCATTCGCATGTGAAAAGGCATGGTGTTGTTGTTATTCATTTGGAAGATCAAGAATGGGAGAGGGAACTAATTGCTTACTGATTTATTAAAAAGGCCTCCCCCCAAAAAAGTGCCCACAAAGGGACCGATCAAATTGGTATGATTCTCTTCGGTTGTGCACAAAAAATTGGACTTTCTTGTGTATATAGCTTTTGGGGCATATGATTATCAAACTGTGTTAATCTAAGGAGCATAATTAAGATTGACATCAGTTGTTAATCTGCCCATTTTATTGACTACTGAAATCTTCGTTGTCATGGTAATGCACGCCATGCGCGGTTATTTGCAAATCGAATTCAAATTTGACTTCTTTGTGTTACTTTGCAGATAAGAGGGATGGTTTTTGTATTCAGCGGCATTGATCTAAGGATGACGGGGTGGGAGAACGCTTTTCATTAAAACTAACTACAGGCAAAGACTACAGTCAAATGCGACACAACGATGTCATCAAATGAGGCCCCCAAAAAAAGATGTTGTATTGTCCCCAAAACATGGGTCGGTCGGTCCGAATTTTTTTTTTAACTTCCTCTTTGGGCTTATATGTCTTAATTTTGAATGCTTTAATACATTTTTTTCTTCTAGAAAACGGTTTTTTTTTAAAAAAGCCGACCGTAGATTTCAAGATTTTTGGGTCGGTCGCAAGGGGCAATACAATTTTTTTTTAAAGGCCTAAGGGGGATATAAGAGGGTCGTACCTCCTTCCTTCTTGCTAGAGTCTCCTTGCCTTTGTTCCTTTTCCTTTTTTGTTGTTGCCCCCGCCCCTCCGGAAACTACGCCACTGACCACACACACTAAAAATCCCATACGTGAAGTCAGTACGTTGGTCTTCGTATTAAAAGAGGAAATATATAAGAGCATAGCTCGGACACTCGAGGAAACCAAAGACACGATCGAAGTCCAGATTAATGATGTCACTGCATGTTTGCCCACCTTTTAGCATGTTTGTCAAGATGGGTTAGGATTGAACTGCGATGCTCGGTTCCCCAACTCGTCTTTACACTCGCAGTCTTTAACAGGGATGTTCGACGTATTCCCATGGTCAGTTATTGTTGCGAACTTACATTACTCGAAAGTCATTCGAATCAGGATAGAACACACCTACCAGTGTGGCTTATTGACCGTGAAAAGACGTATAGTTTGCTATTCCCCACCGAACCCTTTGATGTATTTATCACGAATTTTCGAAATAACGAAAATGGGGGATAAAGAATCTTTAAATATAAAACGTTGAGAGTGACGAGCTGTGCTTAAGTCAGTGACAAATCGTTTTCCTGTTACATATACTTTGAGAAAATAAAGTCATGATATTTGTTATTATTTCTGTTTGAAAATTTGCTCTATGTTTTGTTATTACATTCTAGCTTTCATTAATCGCCTCCTTGATATAAGTCATTCAGATGCACAAAATGGCATGCGTTGCTTTTAAGGTATCACTGGAAAACGGTCACTAGACTTTATGTCCAGAGCGATTTTCGCCAGACCAAACTGACAAGTCAAAATGAAAGACTGTACGTGTTTGAAAGGCCCTCTGTACTACTTGTAGCTACTTGCTCCCTCTATATAGAAAACAATGCCTAATCGGTGCCTATTGGTCCCCCATGATCCTCTTTTTCTTAAGTTAATTAAGAGCTGAGTTGATGAGATAGCCACCTGTCAGTAACCACCCTGGATGGCCTAATCCCTCCTAACCAAACTAGTACAGACGGCCTTTAATGTTTCAATATTTCAACTCCCTGGTCTTACCTAGTGTTGCGGACGTCAAACCTGTCAGTGACCACCCTGGGTGGCCTAATCCCTCCTAACCAAACTAGTAAAGACGGCCTTTAATGTTTCAATATTTCAACTCCCTGGTCTTACCTAGTGTTGCGGACGTCAAACCTGTCAGTGACCACCCTGGGTGGCCTAATCCCTCCTAACCAAACTAGTAAAGACGGCCTTTAATGTTTCAATATTTCAACTCCCTGGTCTTACCTAGTGTTGCGGACGTCAAACCCGCAATCGCAAAGGCGTCGGCGCCAATGTTTCCTACGCCGTCACTCGCAATCCAGGTGAAGTGTCCCGGGGTCGTACCGTTGGTGGACGAGATGAGGATCTTGACAGCACTTTGCGGATGGGTGAAGAGGACCACGGCCCTGGCCTTGTCGTAAGGGTACGTCATCATCTTGGCGAAGATCAAATCGTACTCTTCCTGGTCCGCAGTTTGGTCCAAGGACTAGTGATGTACCACAGAGAAGAGAGAACATAGAGAGAGAGAGAGAGAGAGAGAATATCGAAATAAGCAACAGTTTAATGAACTATTTTTTGTCACACCTTACGTACTCTTCTTGGTCTTTAATTTAGTCTAGTAATGTACCACAGAGAAGAGAAGAGAATGAACAAAAATATCGAAAAAAGAAACAGAATGTTTTCGGAGACGAATCTTTGTCGTACCTCGAATACAGAGAGGCCTTCATCATGCAGATATAGAAAGAGAAAGGGGGAGTGGGAAAAGCATATGCAGACATTAAAGTGTAGGTACATGGGTCAAGGAAGTCAAAAGTGGGTCTTGAATCATGCTTCGATCAATCCATTTGATGAGTTTATTTTATTATCATGAACACGAAGGGGGTGGGGTGTGGTGGTGGGTGCATACGCCGGGTGAATACACCACTGTCGACCAGTACTTGAATGATTTGACCTCTGCGTTCACAAGGATAGATAGTGTGAGTAGGGTGGCCGGTGACAGTTTAAGATCAGGGGTTATAAAGGCGTAAAGTTTCGTTATTAAATATCGTGTGTCTTAAGGCAAAATAAATGATCTTACCTGATGATACGCGATGCATATCCCGGCCTCTGCTGCCTGTACCACGAACTCTGCGTACGCATTTTGTCCGTACTCATCAGCGGAGTACAGGAAAGACACATAACTCCATTCAAAGTGTGTCAAAATGTCCACGATGACACTAACCTGATATCGATCAGGTGGGACTGTTCTTAGGAAATAGGGATAGTTTTGTTTATCGCTCAGTGAGTCACTGGTCGAAAGGTAGCTGATCTCTGGTGTGGCTTGTAGACCCATGAGCGTCGCCGCCTGCATGCTGGATTCGCTGCGTTCCGCTCCTATGAGACCTATCAACGGCATCCCTCCACAGCACATCCCACCGCTGCCATCAGTTTGAGCGGCCCTGGAATACCTACCCGTCCCCGAACAACTACCCGGTGACGACGTAGCTGTTGCCCCGCTGTATGTATCATTTACACAATCACAAATGACTCCACTCCTGTCGGGAACAAAATTCATCGCTCTTCCGAGCGCGACGATGTCGTAGTAACACGTATCGTAGATCTGGAACCCGAGGGTGATGCCGGGTAGGATAGAACTGTCATTGTTGATATAGTTGACTGCGTACACGAACCCCTCGACGCGTTTCACAGACTGAAATTCCCTGATAAGGAGGCATGCCTTGGAGTTTGTAATGCTGTAGTGAAGCCCGAACAGACCGCCTAAGACAACGTCGCCATCGCGTTGGTATACGACCTCGGGTTGTGGACCATCTCCTTTTGTCAAAGCCGCCAGAACAATACAAATTAAACATGTTCTTATCGTCATATTTGTCGCCGCCATATTACATTAGTTTCTAGATTATTTGGGGCTCTACAAACGATAGTTCCTACAAAAGTAAGCAGTGTTTATTGAATGGTGCCACGTCGGATCAAACTATTAGAATAGCCATTGAGGGAAGCAGCATTTCCTTTACAAAGCGCAGCTATTCTGAAGAAAAATAATGTCTGTCAAGATCATGAAGAGATCGGGGACGAAGATACTTCGAGGAAGGTTATTAGATTGTTGAAATAATTATGCTCTTAAGACTTTACTGCATTGGTCGTAGTGGTGCATCACCTATACGCATTTTCCTAGTAGACATACCGAAAGTTATCCGTTGCAGATCCTAGACTACATGTATGTCCATTTTCAGAAGACAATGTCACGTATTCATTTTGTAGCTGAAGAATCTCCGAATTTCGAGGGGAAGAGGATTAATCCTGTAAATAAAAGAAAGCGGCATTAGAAGTGCACTGGAATTGATGAACAGCATCTTTCTGCTTTAATCAGCTGATGATGCTGACTTTAAACGAAGCCTTATATTTATTGAAATTATTGAGAGAAAAAAAATTCTTCGTTTAATTAACTGCAGCTGTTTGATTCTTTAAAGATTTTCTTAGCCGTGCTTTAAAAGTATTAGCTCAAATTGTAAATTATAGCCAAAGGCTATATGCCTACGCGTATATGCTACGCGTAATTTGGAATTCCCAATCTCTTTTCGAAATGTTAACATAAATTACGAACCTCTTATTTTCAAACTGCATTACAATTATATATTATTACCATTATCTAAAAATTTGTTCTGGCGACCCACTACTCAGAAATATACCTGACGTTCAATCTCTATGGATGTAGGAAATGTATGGATCTGAATTGGGTATCAGCCAAAGAAATTCAATTTATCTAGGACTGCTGATTGAAATAACAGATCTACAGGTTAGCAATAGAAAACATGGAAAAGGAATTTCATTAATCCGAAGGTTCGCTATTCTGAAGGTTCATTATTTTGACGATTCATATACAGGTTCATAATAATGAACGGAGAATAGAATAATGAACAAGGTTTACATTGCATGGAGGGAGTTCAATAATCACAAAAGGAATAAAATAATGTTGTTTGTTATAATATCATTATGATGTATTCATTTCGTTTGCCCAAGTTTCATTGATCGTAACTTGGTTTATTTTATCTAAAGATGCGATATTCTTGCAAAGGAAATGGTTCAATGTTTTTATAGATTAGTCATCCGAAAATGAATTGAGGTTCCCAATTTATAAAATCATAAGTCATTACCTAGGGTAAGAATACGATTATAGATTATCATTGGATGGGGCTGGGTGATAACGACAAGTCGGTACGTTGTAGTTTGCATTTTTAAATTGATAAGCCTTATAAATACCTGACTTTCATAGTGGTTCAAACTACATATTTTCTTATCTTTCTTTTCCTGTCTTCTTTCCTTTTTTCAGGGGAGGGGGGGGGGGTGGTGAAGAATAGCGATCATTCATAAAGATTTTTGAAGAAGAAGAAGAAGAGGAAGAAGAGGAAGAAGGAGAATATGAAGAAAAAGATGAAGAAGAAGGAGAAGGAGAAAAGAGGAAAAGAAGGAGAACGAGATGAGGATTATGATGAAGAAGAATAGAGAAGATGAAGGAGAATGAGAAGAAGAGGATGAAGAACAAGAAGAAGAAGAAGAAATGAAAAAGATATCTTCCTATATCCAGTAGATTCCATGGCCTATAGTATGACTACCATACAGACAGAAGAATATGGGTACACATTTCATCGGCTCATCTCTGGTAAATATTTGCAGCCCTCTAATGCACGCTTGTGTGCGACATAGGCACCCACGGTAATGTAGTGGATATTGGGTGTTCAATGCCTCGTTTCATCATGGCAGAAATTCATGACAACATGAAAAGTCTATAAACAGGACCTTAAAGGTGCAGTTTCATCCATAACAATATAAATGAAAAGAGTCGAGGAGAAGCAAACAAAATCACCTCTATATATGGGTAGGTTGGGAAGACAGCAGTAGCATTTAAACAAATCCTTAATTCTAGTAACATGACATTCGAAATTTTATTTCAAGTGATCATAATCGCGGGCTATTGTAAGCTCTCAATCGAAATGATAAAAAGAAATCATTTAACAGCAAAAACATTCTTTTTATATTGTTATCATTACTACTTCTTCTACTACTACTTATAACATTCTTCATTCTTCAACATTGTCATGTCATAGCAAGAAGTTGAATTTTGAAATTGCTCCTGAAATAAATTGAAAGTCCTTGTTTCGTATTTATGTTGCGTATCGTTCGATTTTCATATAAAAAAGCCTCTTGTTAACAAGCTAAAATTGCTAGTTTATCTCTGTCCTGTTGTAAAATCTTGTGACATGTGCGAGATATGTAAATGCAATTAAAAAAAAAACGTAAGCACTGATCAATCATCCTACCTTTAATATCATCATCGTTTTGCATTAGCTTATAGCCTTCCCATTATTATGGAAGCGCGTAATTGAATTTCCGATGTCCGCACAATTTCATTATAATATGCTGTTTTTTCACCCCAGAGCCCGAGTAAGTGCCTTTCACTATTATTAATGTCATTCCTATTTTATTCCTATCCTCATTTTCATCTGGCGATATTTCTTTCAACAGCGTGATCAATATAGCCACATTTTAATTTATTTATGACTGATATTTTTCGTGACAATCTATTGTGTCAGTTTTCAATGTTCAACTATCCATCAATTATGAAAAACAAATTAAAATCGAATAAATGATAAGTGGAAACAGGAAGTAAACAAAAATTTAGCTTGATAACCCTTCCTTTTCTGTTTTATCATGCCGTCTTTAGCAGAGTCCATGCTTTATTGTTTTGTACTTGTTTTCTCTCGACCAATTTGTCCATTTCAAAATGCCCCCCAAACCATTAAAAAAATCTTGTATCTGTGGTACGAAAGCACGCACAAATACCAATCCATACATTGAAATATACAATGCTTATATTTTATATTTATAAATCAAGAACAGCAATAGTGAAGAAGTGAATAATTGAACTCTCAAGCTTTTATTTCAACTGTTTTTATTTAACTGTTTATCATTTGTATATTACCGTTACGGGGAATTATTAAAATTAAATTATTTGTATGTAATATATTATATATCAAGTAATAATTACAAATATACATCATTACTTGACAAAACCAAGATGGCGAAAATTTGTTTTAAAAAATCTTCTTGTACGAAGGGTCATTATGTATTAATAAACTGGTATTGTTTACCGAAATGTATGTTCACAGGCAAATGAGGCTGAAAAAGCGACTTGTATATTAAAAGAACAGATTTGAAAATCAAAACTTTATGAAAATCATTTACCTCACCTGGGTATATATAAGAAAGTATTGAGTTATGCTTGAAATTATGCAGATGTAAATCAACAATATGTATGTATGTTCAATTGATAATGATTTTCATAAATTTTTGATTTTCAAATCTGTTCCTTTAATATACAAGTCGCATTACATCTTGTTCAGCGTCATTTACCTTAAAAACATACACTTCGGTATACAATAACAGTTTATTCTGTAAAAGAGCTTTTCTTGTTGGCATAATATTCGTTCTGTTTACGCTTCAAAGTTCATATTATCCATGCATACTATACATATACCTACATGTAATTCCACGAGAATGTAAACGGGTCTATGTATATTATGATTCAGAGGAATGTCTACATTATATACAATGAATTTAGACGTACAGTTCCATTATGTCAATTGAACTTTCATATACGTTATGTAAAAATCAATAGGCCTACAGGTAATTCCTTACCCCAAACCGTAGGCCTACATTGCAATTCCAATTATTTGTTGTTTCCTTTGATAAGTGTATGATAGTCTTTTATGGGTTAAAGAAAATAGAGAAATTTGGTTTGGTTTGGTTTGGTTTGGTTTGGTTTGGCTTTATTTTCCGTACACCATACATACACGTACATAAAAACAGATATACATGTATATATTAAATCAGTTAATTAGAAGAATGTATGGCTTGATTGTTCTATTCAGGACATTATAAGAACTAAAACATTTATACTGAACCTGTAACACACAAGTATGATCCAATATAAAGTGCTTTAACATAAATAAACATACATTTCCGAATGATGTTGCAATAATGTGTAAAACGAATGAAAATTACAAAGTTGATTTTCAGTTCTACTCACCAAATTCGTTGTCTCCCGTCATTTGAAGTTAACGTTTATAACCAACCATCACAACATACAAGTAAACGTACATCATCCTAAACTGCGTTTACGTACACAAGTCATGCTGTAATTAGGCAAAGTTTACAAAGCAAAAGAAGTAAACTGGGAGTAGTAAATGTCCACAAGCAAGGTTAATTACTTGGACTTTGTCCTTTCTCGAGCATCTACGAGATAAACCTTAATCGTGGTAATGATGATTGAAGATGTTTATCTTTACATGCTGCCCGAAAACCACAGAGACTTGGTGATGAACACGGATAATTATTTTGTACCTGGCTGTCACTTGTCAGTATCACGAACAAGTTGATTCAGTTCAAATTCCAATCAATATCTAACCAGCGATTGAAAAATGATTGGTGTCGCACGCGGGAAAAACGTGTCACGCCAAACGCGCGCGGGGCCTCGAAAAAGAACGTCCGAACTATATCGGCTTGTTTCCTTCAAAATGAATAATGACATGTTTCTAGGTGTGCGAAGAATTAAAACAATTAATTTCTTCATTGCAAAGGTGAAACTTTGATTGGACAATCTTATCAAAATTCAATGCTTGGAAACATTTGAAGTAATGATTATCATCAATTACAAAACGCTTAGATACAGCTCAGGCATAGCACCTGAAGAGCTCTCCGCGAACGTTGCTGAGAATTGTGTGACATCACAGGTTGGGCATGATTTGCACAAGCAGACGACATCCCATAAAGTATGAACATAATTGCAATGCTATTATTTCTCAATTATAATGAGTTTAGTTGATATAAATGTGATGGCATTTCACACCATTAAAAAAGAGATATCAAACCGATTCTGATGAAATCGATTCTAAAATCTTTTGTCTGCAAATACACAGGAAAGGGGTTAATGAACACTCAAAGAAACCACACTTTTAAATTGAAAACCCCCGGAATGATCGCTTGGACGACATAATTTTCCTCTTGAAACGCCGAACATACCGCAGTGTATGCAGCTGAAAATACAATGGCATCTTATTTTGTTCACAAGCGATGGATTTCTTTATTTTTTCATCGCTGCATTTTTCATCAAAATAATACCAACTGCGGGATTTAGAGTGAGGCAATATATTAAACATTTAGCCTGACGGTAGTTAAGTAAGAAAATTTACTGAAGAGAAGATGACAAACAGGCACTGAAAATGTGTGAGATGTCATGGGACATCGGCCGGGGGAGGGCCAAGGCCAAGGCCCGCTCGCCCACCCCCCCCCCCTCCCCCTGGATGAGGGAGAGGGGGGGGGGAGGGGAGGGGGTAGTGAGCACTAATTTTGTCTTCTTCTTTTTTGCCCCCGGAAATTTAAAAAAATCTTGCCGGCCGATATTTTACTTAGTGGGGGGGGGGGGGGGTAAGGCCCGCTCCCCCCCCCCCCCCTGGATCCGCGCCTGGCTTGGTCAACACACAGTGACTCATCATCTAGAAATACATATGTATGTCCATTATATGGTCAGGTTCCGCACGAGATTAGCACACTTTGGCCCCGTCTTCCCTCTTACGTTGTCCGTTGCCCGTAAATTTAATCAGGCGTGATTTATTTTGCTGTCCATACCGTATCAGAATACAAACGTTTAAATATTGTGTTGTACCATAACCAAGCCAAAATATCGGAGCTCCAGGCGGGGTGGGGGGGGGGGGGGGGGGGGGAGGGGTGACAGCCTTCATCCCGAGAATTTTCAAATTACCCGGCAATCGTCATTTAATTGTTGGCAGCGATGTAGTCTCTTTGTATTTTTGTAATGGGCAGAGGCGGGAAGGGGGGCGGGGTCATTCACAGGCGCGTACGCAGGGGGGGTGGTTTTGGGGTTAAACCCCCCCCCTCGAGTTTTTTTTATGTGTATGTTTTATGTATTTTTTTTGGAACCCCCCCCCCCTTTTTTTTATTTCAACCCCCCCCCCCTTGAAAAAAATCCTGCGTACGCCACTGGTCATTCATCCTACTATACAAAATAAGATCATATTAAGATGCACCGTTATTTCTAAACTTGACGGCTACATTTCTACACTACACTACACTACATGTCTATTTAAGAGTAATTTGGCGGAATAGTTGGCATTTTGTTAGATTATGTAGATATTCATTCATCGTTGGTTTGTTAGAGGTAGGGTCCATCGTTTGTCAGTTCATTCGTATGCACATCATTCTCAAAAGCTGGTAGTACATTCTTTTCTTTTCACATTAATTTTTAAGAACAATATTGGTTGGTGCTGTCAGATTATGTTTTACTTTGACTTCAGAGGGCGCTTTCTAGCTTTGTATCATCAACAGGTTTTCACCTTTGAGAGATGGCACTACGTCATTGAAGCCACGCACTTATTGTCACCTATCCTGTTCTCAGTCCCTTTATTCGTCTGTCCAACTCTTCCATTCTTGTATTTATACCGTATTGTGTAATGTTTCTTGGAATTAAATTTGATATAATCACCTGATAAATTAACATTTCATTTCATTTATTTATTTAAGCACGGAGGCCTATACCTCAGCCCATTAGTCCGGCAGCCATCACGATATACCTTGTTTTAGGGTCTATAGTTTTTTGTTTTTTTTTATTGTAGTTCCTTAGACCATCAATTTGAAGAATCCGATTGCTGACACTCTGTCAGCCTTGAGCAATTTGAGATATGTGACGTCACACAAAATGGCCGCCAAAATACCCTTTTTTACCAAAATTAATGATAAAAAAATTGTTTACAGTATTTTGCTACATTAAATGTCAGTCAAATATCTTGATTTTTTTCTAGGATCATCACTAAATAAAAATTGACGATGTTGTATGATAAAAAACGGCATGTAAATTTGCATAATTCAGATTGGCGCCCTCTATAGACACGTTAACTTGCAAATTTTAAATGATGGCCAAATGCCAATTTCTAACATGAAATTAACATTTTTTATAAGTCAGACGCACTGAATACAATAAGTAAAAATTGTACACCACATTTTGGTGTGATTTTTTTGTTATTTTGTACTTTAAAGGTAAAGATCAGTTTTGGAAACGCCCCCCTCTCAAAAAATGAAATGGAAGCTCTTATCACCAATCATGTGAAAGAATATGTTTTGACTAATACGTGATGATACAAATTTTGCCGAGAAACCGCCTACTAATTGATATATTTGGTAAATTATTATATCTATTTAGACCTGATAGATATCGCGCACATGTCGCGTAGTCCCATATACATCCTTCTGTGTACAGTGCTTGTAACTTTACCAAGACTGGGCTAAATTTCTAATCGTTTTGATGATTCCAGAACCTTGCAGTACACACCAATACTTATAAGCTAGATGATCAACCTTTTCTGATTGATTCCACAACGTTTCTTTCACAATGCAATCGCATGACCATAACTGGTCGTTATCTTTATTACTTGAAGAAAACAAGCTAGAATCTCATGCTCTCTGTCCCATAGATATGAGGTACCATATGGTTATAAATGCCCGTGTTCAGTGACAGCATTCCGAAATTTGATTTGTATTTTGAGGTACATTCTTTTATATGAACCTATCATGAAAAGGTTCCTCTCTTACAAGGGAGTTTAATAAAGCGAAATATCCACCCAAAATGACCAAACCAAAACCTTCCAATGGCCATCATTTGCTGCTTTAGTTTGATCGTTATAACACTCGACAGAGGCGCGAAAACCACAGAAAATTGTGCATGCTAGTTTTACTTTGTTGCATTGGCACCGTGATGATTTACATAGGCTTCCACTCGCACAAGTGCACCGTATTAACCTTAATATGTTGTCCGGTGCGAGTTGTACATTTGTAAGTACTGTGACAGGGATCAGGGATTTGGTTTCCTCTTCTTTTGCATAGCCATACTTTGTAGGATCCAATGATGTGGGTCGTGACTGCAAGGCGTGCTTCCACACACATGTTTGCAGATGAGCTCTCTTGCCAACTGAGTCCAAAGGGAGTCAAATCTTCTGCTTCATCACTTTCAGCAATGCATGTACCCTTTTCAATCCCAAAGTATGCCCAAATAGTGTCGCATCCCCTCAACGCATGTCCTGCCAACATCGATGGAATGATATCTTCCAACTTGTGTACAGTGGCAGGAATGTCAATAACAGCTCGCTCTTTGATGACGCCATGATCATTGGCGTTCTAAGTTATTCATGTAGATAATGATGGACCCTAACCCTAACAGCCAGGACCCTAACATACCTTTTCTCATTAGCAGCAATTTGAATCGCTTGCTGTACTATGATGTTGTCTGCTTCTTCATGTGTTAAGGAACGATCTTCCCTTGGCATGACATCGCTGCCTGGTATCACTTCAACAGATACCTCATCTTGACCGGTAATGACCAGCTTGTGCTTTTGCCTATTTCTGAACACCTCATCATTCTGCAGAATCACCCATACCGGTATTATGATGTCGATCAACTGTAGTTTGTTGTCAGTAGTTTCTGGGAGGGAAGCAGTGAGGTGGGAAGGAAGACTCTTTTGGATGACTCTCGATTCGTCATGACTTCTAGAAACCCTGGTGGCACACCAACCAAAGATCATCAGATTTTAATCCAGAGTAGAGCACAACCATCAAACGGGCTGTACAAGGTTGCTCAAGTGACACGTCAACCTTTGTCAAATTCTTCAAGTTCGCCTTTGACCTGGTGAAAGCTTTCATGACAAAATATTCTTGATATTGACATATTTTCAACTTGCCTGCAGTCCTATTACTCTAGTCTAAGAGTAGATCAACTTGGTGTCATAGACTTTTGAATCCTCCAATGTTAATTAAACTACACCCTCCAAGTGGTTGAAACCTTCACCTACCTCGGCTCCATGTATTAAGCAACCTCTCCCTTGATCTCGAGCTCAACGTTCACATTGGCAAGGCAGCAACCAAGATTGCTAGACACTCAAAGCAGGCCTGGAAGAACACTTTACTATAAACCACCAACACGAAAATGAAGATCTACCAGGCCTATGTGCTCAGCACTCTCCTGTATGGCAGTGAGTCGTGAACCCTGCATGCAAGTCAGGAGCACCGTTTGAATGTTTTCCATTTCCGCTACTTGAGGCGAATCCTAGGCATCAAATGGCATGACCACATTCCAAACAAGGATGTCCTCAAAAAGGAATGAAGATGACCATCTACGCTCTTCTATCACAACGACGGCTGAGATGGCTTGGTCATGTCAGTCGTATGGCAGATGGCCGCATTTCAAAAGACATCTTGTAGGGAAAGTTAGCGATCAGAACCAGGACTGTTAGAAGACCTGGCCTTCGCTTTATGGATGTGTGCAAGAGGGATATGGAGGCCAGTGAAATCAACCCTAAAAAATGGGAAGCCTATGCTTCAGACTGCCCCAAATGGAGATGCGCTGTGAAGACATGTATACAGAGGAGTGATCAGAAGAGAGTAGAACAGTGGGAGGAGAAAAGGCAACAAAGACGGCAGCTAGCCA